ATTCAACTACTCTCATTTTCTATAAATAAGAGCCCTTTCTCCCATTTTCTTCACACTTCCATTCTTCCACCTTTCAAGAATTAGAGAGAGAGAGAGGGAGAAAGAGAGAGAGAGAGAGATTCAGAGAGAGAAGGAGAGGAAGAAAAAAAAGAATGGTTTAGAAAAAATTATCAAGATTTTGATAAGGAATTTAGTATCTTTTTAAACGTCTTAAGAGGTATTTTTAGACAAAAAAAAAATGATAATTTTGTGATTTTGCATGTTTTGCATGCTTTGTATTTGTAGGCTTAATAACTTAAATTGTTCTTGATTTCAAGCATGCTATATGAGTGATAGACACTTGATGATTTGCATGTAATTAAAATAATATGAAACAGGTAAGGTTATATAGAAAATACAAATAACAAAAAAAAAAAAGTGGAATTAAGCATAAATGATCCGAAGTATGTATTTTTATTGACATGTATAACGCATTAAGTTTCTTATTAGGTTTTTTATCTTTGAGGGGTATCTGTTCCCCTATCTCCATCCGGGATATCTGTTTTTTCGTTCCCCATTTAGTTTGAAAAGAAGTAAGATGATCGTTCCCTTTATATGACAGCGTACCCTCTGACAAGAGTGATGACACGAATATCTGTTAGGAGTTACCTTTGGCTAAGTACTGTCATGATAATAGAATATCTGATAGAACCACTATGGTTGGTATCACTGTAATCATAGATTGTGTCATGATTTGGCAAGCTGGAAATGTACCTGACCAAATTGCTGTTATATGTATCTGATATGCTCATTCCACATGGGTAGTCTGAATTCTGTATCTGCCTTTAGGTATGAAAGTTATAATGACTTTGGGAATTGTGACACGAAAATCTGAACATTTTATGATTTATTTGATTTTTTCTATTGTTTGGTATACTGTGTGTTTATTTTGATTGTTGACTATAACGTAATGTTTTTCTTTAATAAATAAATTATTTTCATAAGACAAGATAAGTCTAAGGCGTAACCAAATGGTAAATATTTATGTTTAAATAATTTACTTTTTAAAACCTTACAATGTCATCTAAATATTGTTTTCCTTATTGAGCATATAAAACTCACTTTTTCTATGGCCTCCCCAGATGAAGAAGATAGTGAGGAACTGCCAGCCGACCTACCCATTGAATTTTATGAAGATCCCGTAGATCCACAAAACTTGAATGCATGATCGTCCTTATACTCTGATGAATCCAATAATATAATAAAAGAAATGACCTTTTTTTGTATTTTGACATTGTATTTTGCAGCCACTTTTGACATAAGTTATATATATATGTAATTGAAACTCATATATTTGTAAGGAATTTGTATTAATTTGCTCAACTGCATATAATTTTTATCATACACTCGTAATTCTATTTCTGTATCTAACACCCACATATCTTAGTTAACATCTGCGATGTCACATACATGATGTTTGTGTATGACGTATGTTTATGTATTCATATTGTTACTTGCATGTATATGCAGATTTTATGCATGCTAGTTATCGAGTTATAAGTGTGTGTGATACATATATATGTATAATTGTAGATTATGTAACGTGTGTATGTATAAGTGAACAACTTGTATGTGCCTGCTTATAGAATATACATATGTCTTGTGTAAATATACAAGTATATTCATGTTGTATGTATTGTGTGTACATATATATTTATTTGAGTTGATAACTGTACATATAAAGTGTATATATTGTGCTTATTGTGTAGGCATACTGATGTATCACATATATGATACATCAGTAGGTGCATATCTGAATAGATAATCTAGTAATAAACCTGATTAGTAAAATAATAACATAAAAATATTTAAAAGACGAAAAAATCCGTTTAACCAGTATCACGAGGGACGAGTGTTTGTATAGCCTTCTGACATGTGACTGTGGTGAATCATACCCGTAGATACAGCTTTAACCAGACGTGGTGAAGCAATAAGAACTGTGAACTGTATATTGTGTACTGCAAACTGTGAACTGTGAACTGAATTGTAACGTATTAACGTGGTGGAGAGAATCCTTACTATCCTCGTTGATGCCGACGGAAACAACATCGCGTGGTGAAACTAGAACTACTTACTGCTTAAATTGTGATACTAAATACTAAATTATGCGATTGATGGAACTGTTTATGCTCTGAGTTATAATATTAAAATAAGAAATTTTGAATGTTATTGAATAAACTGATTTAAAAGATTTGGTGATTGAGTGTGCATATCTTTGTTATAAACATTACTTCTTTTCTTTACTAAGTCTGTGAAGTTCACCCTAATTCACACCCTCCCAACACAGATTAGTCTAAATCAAGAGCAAGTTCAAAGTCAAAGGAAAACTTTGAAGAACTTTTAATGACAATAAAAGTTCGTTTCGTAAAATCAATTTAATTATATTATAGCGATATATTGTAAATAATTTTGTAAGACTCATGACTTGCAATTTCATATAGTAGATGATTGAATATTAGATTTTCACTCATCGCTACGTAAATTTATCAGGTTATGTATGTAAAATAACATTTCTTTTTCAACGGAGAAAATGGGTCGTTATATTGCTAGAATTGAATCTAACTTCATTATTATAACTCTACCAACAGACAAATGAATTAACTTTTAATTTAACTAAATCAAATCCGTCAAGTTCTATATTTTTAGTGAAGTTTGAACTCCTGACATTCAAACAAAACATAAAAATATTGACTACTAAATCATCATATTGGTGATATTTAAACACCATTTTTGATCCAATAAGTATTTGTTTCCATAATTCCCAGAATCCCTACTTATTACCACTTGTGGTTATCATTTCTCATACTGTTTTCTTTTTTTGTTTTCAAAAAAAAAAACTGCTGTGGAAGACAGCATAAATGGTTTAATATTCATTTTCTGATATGGTGCGAAGTAGACAATAAGATCACAAGATGCCAACTACTACCTTTAATATCGTTAAGAAAGAATTGCAAGAACCCTAACTGGAAACAACTTTGTTGAGCACTCAATTACTAAAAACAAAAAGTTAAAAAACTGGACTGCTAAAAGAAGGCACTTCAAATATGCCTTTCACATAGTTTGTTTCCTGCTGATATCCTTGAAGGGAATACTCACATAAGATTTTAAAAATTCATTGTTACGTGAATGCTAAGATGCTCCGGAGGCATTTGCCTCTGAGACTGTGAGAGGAAAACTGAAAAAACAAATGAAGTTTATTAAATTAACTTTTTAGTGATTGTTGATATATTTTGCTTCAAAATTATGGAGACACTACACCTCCGGAAAATGGTAGCCCTTGATCTTTGTTACATGCTGCTCCCATGTTTGAAAGTATACCAGCTCAGCATGTATAGTTTCAGTTTTCTATTGCAAAGTTGATGAGATGTGAGCACTCTTCATCTCTGTGAATCACAGTATTGGGGATATTCACATTGGCAAGGACCTCTTCTTACCTGTGAAGTATTGAAGCCCTTTAGATGCATCGAGTGGAGAATTGAAAAGTGCGTAAAAGAAAGGCTGAAAAACTAAGATATCGATAGCTGGGCAGTTTCTATACTAGTTGAAAATAAAGTACAAGCAAAGAAAATCAAAATCAGTATTTCTCTCTAGATTCCTCTGCAAACCATATTTGACGTATATCTTTGATTTAAAGTTAATTTCTCAGCAGAAAATCACAAATGTTTCATACAACTTATTGGCAGGGTCAAGTTGTGATTCAGTCATCACTCTGCTTCTCAAAGATTTTAATGGAATAAAGATCTGACTATCATTAATTTATTTAACAACCTAGAAATTTGGTTTTACAAACTCGACAAAATGGCCTTCTGACTCTGTAGCATATCCTCTTTGGTAATCAGGTGAAAATCAAAAGGCTGAGGGGCAATTAGACTACCAGGCAGGAAAAGATGAAGATGACTACAGTTTCTAGCTCCACTAAAAGCTTAATAATATTGCCATTGAATATTATGTTTTTGGTTAGATAACATTAATAAAGCTGTGCCCTTCTACTGAGCTTTGGAAGCTATCCTCTACCTCAATTCTTTTTCTCTTTGATATCCTCTGCTATTTCTGTCAAGGGTTACTGGAGCCCGTGCAGAAGTCAATCATGTTTAAAGGCTCTTTTTCTTATTTTTTTTTGAAATAAAAACATGTACAAAATTAAAACATGTTTAAAGGCTCCTTTTTCTCTGATCAAAATTGCATTAAGTATTATTTTTGTTATGCGAAAAATATAAGCTATTGTACAGACTATGTATTAGAAAATCTATAGGAAACAAAGGGTTTCATTGACAAAATTTGTTTTCTACAGTTAGAATATACTGACATTAGAAATCTAACATCTAATCTTTGAAGGCATTATCCTTGCACCTTAGTATATTAATTTTTGTCACGAAGTGTTATCTTCAATAGCGTAAAAAGCAGAAAAGCACAACAAAGGGATCCATGGACCAGAAATGAAAAGGTATGGTGGCAGCAAACTCCATGTGATTTAAGCTTAGGTGAATGATTTAGGAATAAATAAAAATTGGTAAACTAGCTCTCATGCCGATCAATACTCAAGAATAAACTAAAATAAGAAGTTGATTTTATGAATAAAATTAAAAAAAAAAATATAGTTTTAATAGGGATCAGGTCAAATCTTGCAATATCGAAAACAATAATACGTAAGCAATTTCATCAATAAAATGATCAGTGAAAATTTATTGACGAAAAAATAAGGTTTTTAATGTTCTATATTGAAGTATAAGATCTAACAGGTCCTATATCCTAATTCCACTTATTTCAACGTCAGTGAACCCATGCTTCATTCTCAAATTTGGATGATAACATATTGATGTCAGAGTAGGGACTCATGGAAGAGATGAAAATCTTTACAGCAACATTCTGGGGCTTTCCTCAAACTCTGCCACAAATATCTAGTCTGGATGGAGAAAAGGAAGCAAGAGCTAACACTGCAGATTAAAGGCCTTTCCGAATAATTAACCACAGCCAAATTGAAAGGGACTGACACCATTCTTGTGGCCAACAGCAACAACAGCTAGGATAAAAGGCCTCCCGAATACCTGGAGATAGCGAAGAGGAATAGCGAACTTTTCCACTATTTGCTAAACTGAATTTTTTTCACTTTTAGATGGGACCATGGTCTCACTAGATTCTAGGTTGGCCCAGATCGGCCGAAAAGTTCCAAAAACCTCCTCGTGATTACAAATTGATCTCCTGAAATCACATAAAAGTCATAGCTAATTGTAAAGATGTTAACAATAACATAAGGTGGCTGAAAGAGAAGTTATCAGCTGCTTAGGTATATCTTAGTGTCAATGATGACCTTGTTAAGCAGCTTGCCAAAGTTTCAGAACACACTATTGCTGACTAGGAAGAAGGTTGAAAATGAAGTCGCAGAGCTTGAGCCTATGATCAATAGAATCCAGCTCTAGAAAAATCAGTTATGCATCTCCATGGAGTCGTCTAGGAATGTGTTAGGCAAGCAACAGAGGAGCAAAAGCAGAAAGTCCATGAAGCTGTGATGAAAAAGGCTCTTGAATGGGAGTCTATCGAGTTTGAACTAGAGTACCAAAATTCTGCAACAACTTTTAGTCATCTACACAAATACATGGACAACCTCCAGATTTGGGACTTTTCTTTTGGTGACTGTTTACCCTAGCTGACTTTGTTTCAGATTTTTGCTGCTA